TTACCGAACCACAATTAATGGATAGATCTAAAGCTAAATTTTAAGTTCAACCTCAACGAAATACGGGATACATGTATATATATATATAGCTAAATTTTAAGTTCAACCTCAACGAAATACGAGATACATGTATATATATATATATATATATATATTTACCATCAAAAGATAAGTTTTAGATCAACATTTACATCAAAAGGGCCGAAAGTATTCGTCGAAAAACATCAACCCTGAAAGAGTGAAAATTACTATCCAAATGCATAAACTACCGTAAACCAAAATATGACGGTCCTTGATTCCAACACGAACTATCAACGATCTACAACTTTCTCTTTGCTCTTAGCTTCTTTTCCTGAAAGGTTTACCACTAAAAGGATAAGCTAACAAAGCTTAGTGAGTTTAAATGGATATCATGCACATCATGACTCATGTAAGTACATTTNATATAGAATTTCAAGGAAACAACAAGGACAATCAGATGAATTCATAACGCAAACACTTCAATAATCAAAATCACGCTATGCACAATTAATACATTAACCAACAATTTAAATTTAAAACAACAGACAATTGTTAGGTTTGACTGACCAATCCGTATCCGTCCACTCTCGGATGGTGTATAAACCCTCTACTCATCTTCCTGCAATAACCATCCTCCATCCCTGGACAGATGAGTAGGGACAGCCACTTCGGTTGTCTCACCCGGATCCAAAGGTGTCCGACAACCGGCGCCTAACACCTGAACAATGTTAGGACCAAAATTGATTCTAATTATTCTAAAAGTTTTATCAAGCAATCGGAACAAGGATGGAAGATCTGAAGATGTTGTGCTAAAATGACTAAGTCTGAATGACCAGAGCCTCTCTGGTATAGACCAGAGCCTCTCTGGATGACAGAGGCCTCTCTGGTATAGAATTCAATTATCATGTAAATATTGTCTATATAAGGAGTGATACAGGCATAGAATAAAAGTAACCATGAAACAACAATTATGATTACAATATGGGTAACACATACACCTTTAAAGCACATAATAGGCATATATCCAAGTAAGCTCACAATAGAATTCGGTTGAATTAAACCGAATGTCAAACCGAGTGGTCGAATCCTATTTTCCAAATCAAAGTTGGAAAACCACCTCCAAGACTTCCATACAAGCTCAAACAATCCCTGGAAGATATATATATATTCAAAGTCTCATTAGTGAAGCACAACAAGAACTCATTCAAACCTTATTTCGATTAAGGTACTCTACTTTGGATTTCAATATAAATACTCAACTTGCAGAGCTGTTTTACCCCTTTAAAACTCAAAATCACCATTTCAGATCTAAAGACAAGTTGTAGCCCTTTCTCTTGCCTTTCTAAGGCCTATTTATTCATAGTTTTTTTAATTTTCTATGATTTTCCAAAAACAGGGCTGTAATCATCTTATCAAATGCTCAAAACACCCATTTCCATCCAAAACATTACCAATACTAGCCCAATAAGTTCCAAATTCATAGTTTCACTTATTTTTACCAAATTCCACAATAAACCAATGATAAACCATGATTATAACATCAATTTCTACTAATCTCATTGTATCTCAAATTGACTCCT